AGAGAACTGGGACTACTCAAAGGGCCGCCGACCCCATGTCATGTACACCGTCACCATTGGCCAGAACCCTACATCGGGTACCTTGTCGGTGCAGCGCAGAACCGAGATCTACGCTCTCTGCGTCAAGTACGACATCATCATCGTCGAGGATGACCCATACTGGTACCTGCAGTACCCGTCCTCGTCGCCTAGCAGCGTTCCTCCCAAGCCTACCAAATCTTCCGGCTTCGAATTCCTGGACAGTCTCATTCCTTCATACCTCAGCGTAGACTACCAGGGTCGCGTTGTTCGTCTCGATACCTTCTCCAAGACGGTAGCCCCCGGGTGCCGTCTTGGTTGGATTACCGCGCAGCCTGCACTCGTAGAACGTCTCCTCCGCATCACCGAGACTTCGACCCAGCAACCCTCAGGCTTCGTCCAGTCCATGATGGCAGAACTGCTTATGGGTCCTCAGGCCTCGAATGACCCTGGTAAGGGCGGCGCGGCCGATGGCAGTGGCTGGAAAGTGGATGGATGGGTGCGCTGGCTGGAAGGCCTCAGAGGCAACTATGAGCGTCGCATGCAGAAGATGTGCGATACGCTTGATGCTGGAAAGGAGGCCGTAAAGGCTGGGCGCCGAAGGAGTCTCGTCGACGTCGCTGACGAAGAGGATGACTGGGCTGTGGTTGAGAAGACGCAGATCTATTCGTTCGTTCGACCTCTTGGCGGCATGTTCGTGTGGGTGCGCTTCGACTTCGCGTCCCACCCGCTCGCCAAGCAAGTACCTGCTGCCCGCCTTTCTAGGGCTCTGTGGGTCTTCTGGACCTCGAAACCCTACCTGTGTCTCGTAGCTCCCGGTACAATGTTCGCCGCCAACGAGGAGATCCGGGCAACGGACAGCTTCAACTGTTTCCGGTTGTGCTTCGCCGCATGCCCTGCGGAAGACGTAGACGATATTAGCAAGAGGTTTGTAGATGGCGCGCAAGCATTTTGGAGGATCAAGAGCAAGAGCAAGATTGATAAATTATTGGAAGATGAGGAGGTCGCGGGTGTGGATCACGTTGCGGGTATGGCGGTATTGACCGGGATGTGTTAACGGATTTTCAAATATACATTAGGAACGCTACATATATACAACCAAACTTGATGGTGGAGTCACGCTATGCACTCCCGTTACTCGCTATTTTTACTTGGAGACCTTGGCGTCCGCGATGATGACGTCGGATGCCTTCTCAGACAACATGTAGAGGGGAAGAGCGAGGTAAGTGCCAGGAATCTTGGGGAAAGCGGAAGCATCGACGACACGGAGACCCTCAACACCGCGAACCTTGAAGTTGCCGTCAAGAACAGCCTTCTCGTCATCGTCGGCGCCAATGGGGCAAGTGCAAGAAGCGTGGTGACCCCAGGACTCGTACTTGGCAAACTCCTTCCACTGCTCGTCGGTTTGAACCTGCTTTCCGGGCCAAACCTCCTTGAACTTGCCGTCAAGAGGAATGAGATCCTCAAAGACCTCGCGACCGTACTTCATTCCCTCAACAAGCGCGTCAAGGTCCTCGTCACCGCCGACAGCGAAGTTGCGCTTGCGGATCTCAGGCACATCTTGGGGATCAGCGCTACGGAGGGTGACAGTACCAGCGTTGTTGCGAGACTCAGCCTTGAGAGTGAGCCAGGTCCAGGCGTCGCGGCCAAGGGTGGCGTTGGCGAAGAAGTCGGGGTAGTATCCGTTGAAGTACGCAGGCCAACCAGCGACGAAAAGATCAGCGTTGCCGTTGGGGGAGTTGCTAGCCTTCTTGGTGATGGCAAGCGCGATACCGTTGGTGGCGTAGACACCCTTTCCGATTCCAAGCTTGCCAGTCTCCCACTTCTCGAGGCAGGGGTCGTGGTCGCCTTCAAGGAAAGTGCAGCCGTTGAGGAGAGAGATCTTGCTGGGTGCTTGACCGATGACAGGGATTTCGTAGCGGTCCTGGAGGTTGGTGCCGACACCAGGTAGGTCCTTGACGACATTGATGCCGAATTGCTCGAGTTCCTCCTTGGGACCAACGCCGGAAAGCTTCAGGATCTGAGGGGTGTTGAAAGCACCAGCTGACAGGATGACCTCGCGAGTAGCAGTGACGGATCCCTTGGTTCCCTTGCCAGCAGCAGATCCGGACTGGCGTCTCGGGTCAGCGCCGTAGAGAGACTTTCCAGTCAAGAAGCTGACACCAGTAGCCTTGGGCGTGGTACCGTTCTGGTTGAAGTCGACGTTGGTAACGAGGGTGTTGAGCTGGATGTCGAGATGGTACTTGCGGCTTCCATCCCGGTTCTTCGCGTTCATGACTTGGTGAAGGAAGTCGACGGGGCCAGCACGCTTGTACTCTGGGATCTTCATGGCAAGAGGAACCTGCCACATGCCCTCGGCAGAATCGCGGTTGGCACCGGGGTTGTTGATGTCGCGGAGCAAAACTTGACCGAGACCAGTAACGGTGGTGATGAGCGAAGAAAGAAGGTTCTTACCCATACCCGTAGCAGCAGCCAGGACGAGGGAGATGACCTTAAGGTCCTGAACGATCAAAGTGAGGTCGGTCAGGGAGGTCTCGAGCCATCCAGAGAATCCGTGTCCAACAACGCTGTTGGGTAGGTAGCGCGACTTCTCCAAGCGGGTGAAGTACTTGCGCATGTTGCTTGGTGCCCAAGAAGAATCGCCAGTGATGCTCTGAAGGTACTCCCAGTCACTCTCGTATGGGTATACAGTGATGAGGGCGTTGTGAACAGTGCAGCCTCCGAGCGAGCCAACACGAGGGTATAGAACACCGAGGGGTTTGGCGCCTTCAGGAGGGTTGGGACCAGTGTAGCGGGTGCCGTCGGTCAACTCATAGGTGAGCTTGGTGTCCCTCCTCTGCTCTTCTTCGTCGTCGAAGTGCTTGACAAAGTAGTCCCATCGCATGGGCTCGTACTCGGCGGCAACAGAGTGCAAGACGGGTACGTTGTACTGAGTGGTGTTGGTCTGGTCATCACCGGCCTCAAGAAGAAGGACCTTGTGGCCAGCAAGAGCTAGCCTGGCTGCGAGAGGTGCACCGCCGGCACCGGATCCGACAACGACATACTCGTAGTCTTCAAGAGTGGTGGTATTGGTAGCGCTCACAGCACGCTTGACATTTTCGCCGCGGTAAGGAGTGTGCTCGGCGCCGTTGCTGTTATTTTGTTAGCACTCATTTGTTGGTATTGGCACGTGGTAACATACATGATGCGTGCAGAAGTGAAGTTGGTAAGTAAAGAGAGGACGGCAAGAGCCTTCAAGACAATCATGGTGACGGAATTAGAGGTAGTAATAACCTTGCAAAAAAGAAGAGACAAAAAGCAAAGGACTGGATATACAACGTCGTTGCGAGAACGAGTGTGGAGAGAAAGCGACGAGGGCTTCCCTGTGAAAGCTTATATTGGCATGCAGGACAGCCTCGATCAACCATCACGAAGCGCCACCGGTAGTCGCGGTACACGTGGTGAACATTACGATCATCGACCATCTACCCCTTTGGTCCTTGACATTTCACGAATGCGACCTGCGGCTAATCCTCCCCTTACAGGTCAGCCTGTTCTTACCGCATGAGGATGGTAGTACAATCCGTGCACTAGTGGATCCAGGCGCATGGTAGAAAGGCTTCCCATGTCGGACGGCATCCTCGCCCGCACTGACGAATGCGAGCCTTTCGAGTCAGCGAAGGACAGAAATTCTCCTAGCTGCAGGTCAAGAGATTGAGCGGGGAGACGAGGCGTTGTTTGAAGCTAGACCGAACTTCCACCCTGGGCGCACTCCAGGGCTGCAAGTCGGGCCGAACCTGGCTGGCGTAAACTTACCTCCATGTAGCAAGGAAACTCCCGCGAGATGGCTGAACTTTGCAAGTCAACGTTCAAAGTTAGAATGTAGCCGTCGTCTAGCTTGAATCTCGCTCAATCTGGATATCTCATGATTGTCGTCGCTGCTGCATCCAATATATGCACCTTGGCATCCTTCTGAACCTCTTCTGCCGGCGGCACGCCTCGTCGCTACCACACACGGTAGTTGCGACTGCCCAACGTACGCCGCAAACGTCATCGGATAACCACGCCGCGAAAGTCTCCACCTCAAATTTCAAGACCCAAGTCGATCGAGGGCTCCAGCGCGGCCACAAGAGGACGCCTCGAATGGTAACGTACCTGTATCGATCGTAATCCATGCACGACTCCACTATGCACGTGCTAGAATCGACTTGGCGGTCAGGGTGGGCTTCAAGGGTCTATGAACGAGTAAGAGTCAGCGCAAGTAGCTCCAGAGGAGTTCTATCACCAACAACGACCATCGCGGCCAGCTTCCGACGTGTGCTGAAAAATATCCCCGTCCGCATAAGCACGGCAGGATGTCTTGGTAACTCTACGAGCCGTCTCCAGGGATTCTCGACGACATCGACTGTGCCCAGAGACAACTCTTGAAGGGCTTGTCAAAATGGGGGAAGGTGCGCGGTATGTACAGACCCTGGCTCCGTGACCGGGTGTGCAAAGGCAGTTCCCCAGCGACTCGATACGGCATTTGCAGAGCAATCCCTTGCTCTCCACCCCTCTCGGTGTCTTTCGTAACCCGACCTGCCAACTCTCCACCGATCCATATTTCGGTATGATTTCCCCTTGGCCCGGGTGAGAACGCTCAAGTGGGCACATTCTGTGTTATCGCAAGTCCACACGAGCGCCGTGCAGATTATTTGCTTGGTATTTACTGTAGTACATAACCTACTACCTTCAAACCTTCGTACGAAGCGTTGTCCGAAGCCAGCCGCCATCGCCTTTTCCTCAACTCTATCATTTTGCCTTTCTTTTACGACACCTGCACATGATATTTCCCAATGCGGTTAAGAACTGTGGTAGCTTTTCTTGGGGCCTTCGTGGCTGCCGTTCATGCTCAGAACCCGCTTGAGGCTCTGGCGGCACACATGCCAAAGTGCGCTGTATGTTTTCTTCTATTGAGGATGAAACTGAACTCTCGTCTGACATTCTTGTAGCTGGCATGTTTCATGGAAGAGCTTCCCAAGTCGACATGCGCCACAGACCTCACCTCGCAGTGCTTATGCACCAACACTGCCCTCAATCTTGCGGTAGCCGCCTGCTCCCAAAAGACATGTACGATCTATGAGCTTATGCGTGAGTATATTTTTGCGAGTTACAGGCTGTATACATGGAAACTGATGCGTAACAGAGACCAAGAACATCACCAGCACTGGTTGTGGAGTACCTGTTCGCTACAAGGGTGACTCGTTTATGGCTATTGGCATCACCGGAGCTGTCGTGGCCATATTAGCCTTCATCCTGAGGATGGCCGCTAGTATAGGCAAGAAGGGCCGCCAGGTATCATGGGACGACTTGACGATGTTTATTGTTGTCTTGATTGCTATACCTCCAGCGGTCTTTACCCATTTCTGTAAGACGCTTTCGACCAACCCTTGGCCGCCATCTTGCTTACAACATTACAGTGGTCAAAAACGGTCTTGGACGAGATATTTGGACACTCAAGGCTGACCAGATCACCAATGTCCTATTCTACTACTTCCTGGGAGAAATCTTCTACGTTACTGGCCTTGGTGTCTCCAAGATCTCGATTCTCTTCTTCTACCTTCGCGTCTTTCCGGCCAAGAGCTTTCGGATCCTTACTTACAGTGTCATGGGCGTCTGCGGTGTCTACACAATCGTTTTCTTCGTCGTCACCCTCATGCAATGCCGGCCCATCAGCATGGCTTGGGATCAATGGGATGGACTCCACGAGGGCAGCTGCAACAACATCCATCTCCAAGGCTGGATCGCGGCCGCTATCAACATCTTCCTGGACGTCGTCGTCATGGCACTCCCGATGAAACATCTAGCAGCGCTGAACATGGGTATCAAGAAGAAGGTCATGGTCATGTCCATGTTTGGTGTCGGTATCTTCGTCGTCGTCATCTCGGTCATTCGCTTGGAATCCCTCATCCACTTCTCGAATACGCAGAATGTCACCTGGGACTACGTCGACGCCGGTCTATGGAGTCTTATCGAAATCGACGTTTCGATCATCTGCGGATGCATGCCTGCTCACCGGCTATTGATCGCTAAGTTCTGGCCGAAGATACAGTCGACAATCGGAGCAAGCAAAGCCCTTTCGACGAAAGGGTCAAAGTTCAACAGTACCAACAACACGACGATCAGCTCTACGGCCCCCGAGAAATCAGTCCGTCTCTCCATAAAGCCGAAAGCCAAGGACGAGAACAACTTCATTCCCTTAGACGACATGGACGACAACAGCGATCGAGCAATGCTGACGAAACGAGACACCGAACGAGACTCTAGAGGTTGGATCGTGGCAACACATGAAGTGGAAGTCACGCACAGGAATGCTTCGGTGGTCACAGAGAACGCCAATGATGGTAAGCCACAGGACTGGAACAAGCCTCCTATGATGGGAAGAGAACATGTATGAGCCTTTGTGAATATTGGTGTCGCAGCCATTTGGCCTTGACACAAACGGAGTACAGGCGTCACAAACAAGGATATCCCATAGACCGTATCTTCAGAGAACTGTATAATATACTATATCTTCCACACACCTTCTGTCTTCTCATCGCTCCATCGTTTCGAGACATCGTGTTCAATGTCTCTCAGCATTTCGGACATATTGCGTGTGCATGCCGCATGATTACATTTTCAAGTCCGATGTAGTCACGTCAGTGAGTGACATGACTAGAGTCCAGACTGAATCTGGACTCAGACTAAGCGCCGAACTCGGGCGTGAACGACAGTAGCGCGTGGTTGCAATGGGTGGAGATCGTCCACAGAGTGAAGCCAACAGGCCGTGCCGGGTTCAGAAGCTAGGACGCGGGGAAAGGAGCGTTAAGCCGCTCAGGGCCCACAATGCAACCACGACAGGGATTCTACCAAGGACGACCCTTCCCGAAGACCACTCGTACCAAGGGGGGGTTCAACATCTGCGCGTCCCACTCAAAATGCCAAAATTTTCGCCACTTATCTCTTCCGACATCTATGCTTCGGTGCTTCTCGAAGGCGTCAGGTGGGCCATCGACATTACGTACGTACGTTCATCCGAAGGATCTCCGCCAAGGCATTTACCGATTACATATCTGTCGTACCATGCTACCAAATTCCAAGAAGAGCGATCAAGAAACAGCGAGTTATCAAAGTTATGTATGTTATATGCAAAAGCGCGGTTGGCGACAGCATCAACCTTGGAAGCGTTGAGGGAACCGGAGCGGACCGCAGGGGTAAACTCACAACCTTCGGCTTTCTGGATACAGATAAGCCTGCCCCAGTTGAACGGGCCGTTTAATTAATCGGACCTTCACACTGCGTCTCCACTATTGGCGATCTGCCTGCTCTTTCCTGTTCTTTCGAGCCCTGGCATCGGGTGTAATTGTTTCAGACCACTTTTCGGGTATCGTCAGCCTTGCTCCTTTTCAACATCCCAAATCGACCGTGTTGGATCTTCTCGTCTAGTCCTCTTTGAGTCCTGTCCCTGGCATAAGTGGAGTCAGAACTTGGTGGCATTTACCGTGCCGCGGTCGTTCGTGATCTTCCCCACGATTGTCCTGGGATTGTTTAATGATGATAGACAATGCTTCTCTGCCTGGGCAAACAAGGTGGTTAGCTTGTCACTTTGCCAGAAATCCTCCGATGCAATCGAACGCTCAGCTATGCCACATCCGCATTCAGCAGTTCGTCCGCGTCTCACCGCCTGCTCATCTCCATGTGGCTTACGCTTACATGATGCTCGTAGACACCACCACCTAATTACTATTCCCTCGTCTCTCTTTGGCTGTTTGTCCAACAGGTATCTTTCGTACCATTCCGCTCGCTATGAAGTTCTCATTCTCCATTCTCACCCTCCTTTCGGGCAACATTTTTGCCAATGCCTTTCCTTCTTCTCTGCATCATAAGCATCTCGACGGCCTCACACCCGAAAAGCTGAATGCGGCTATTCGATCGGTGGAGGAGTACAAGCATGCCAAGAGACTTCTTGTTGATGTAAAGAAACCCATTGACATCACCGGCAAGCACGCCTTCCAAGCTCCCAAGAAGAACGACCAGCGCGGACCGTGTCCTGGACTCAATGCTCTGGCTAACCATGGATACATCTCTCGCGATGGTGTCACCAGCTTCGTGGAAGTGGTTGCGGCCATCAACCAAGGTTAGTCTGATGCGTCTCAGAGTAGAAACTGGCCAGTTCTAACATGAGTGATATCCAGTGATGGGCATGGGCACAGAGCTGGCTCTCATTCTCGGTATCATGGGTACTGTCTGGACAGGGAACCCATTATCGTTGGATCCTGGTTTCTCCATCGGCGGCCCAACTGCCGGCACAAACAACATCCTAGGAAACCTGCTTGGTCTTCTCGGTAAGAACTGTCACTCCGGCGTATTCCAGGCGATGTTATGCTTACGCCCTCACAGGTAAACCTCGAGGTCTTCAAGGTTCGCACAACTGGATCGAGTCGGACTCGTCGCTCACTCGCAATGACCTTTACGTCACTGGTGATGCTTGGACAATGAACATGACGCTGTTCCGCGAATTCCACGACCGTGCTGATGAGAACGGCGTCCTCTCCATGGACCTTCTGGCCGACCAAGCTGCCCGCCGCTGGGAGTACAGCGTCGCCCACAACCCCAACTTCTATTATGGACCCGTCACTGGCATGGTCAGCCGTAATGCTGGCTACTTCTTCCTCGGTCGACTGCTCTCGAACCACACAGCTGAGCACCCCGATGGCGTTCTTACCCAAGAGATCTTCCGCAAGTTCTTTGCCGTCTACGAGTGCGCGAACGGAACCATGGAGTATCGTAAGGGCCACGAGACAATCCCCGAGAACTGGTACCGAAAGCCGGTGGAGTACGGCCTTATTCCACTGAACTTGGACATCATTTCGTGGGTCGCGAAGCATCCAGTCCTTGGCAGGTACGTATTCGAACTCTCGCACCCTCAGTGAGGGCGATAGGCTAACATCTCCTGATAGCATCGGCGGCAACACCGGCACCGTAAACTCCTTCACCGGTCTCGATCTCCATAACGTCACCAGCGGCGTCCTCAACGCAGCCACCCTACTGGAGAACAACAATCTCCTGTGCTTCGTGTTCGAATTGCTCAAGACATTCCTGCCCAACTCGCTTTCTCCGCTGCTGTCGACCCTTGAAGTCCCGATCAGCTTGGTGACGGATACCCTGGCGTCGCCGCTGTTGAGCCTCGCGTGCCCAGCATGGAAGGATATGACCGAGGGTGGCGAGCCGCTATGGGACGGTATCCAGAACACCTTTGCTGGCGCACGCAAGGCCGGTTCAAGCCTCTAGTCCAAGCAGGGAATGGCCTGCAGAGTGCGATATACCGCAGTAGTGACATAATTTTATTCTCTTCTCTTGTCTAATATAAGCTGTTAACGGGCTGAGCTCGCAAAATGTAGTGAAGAATGCGCAAGCGTGTTTGTGTCGCAGTGGACAACTGCGGTCAGACGAATGCAAGAATTGCTTAGTGAAGATCGTGCTCATAACAATGTGATCGATATCGACTTTTGCTTACTAGACTACGTGCACATAGCCTGAGGAGTAATGGCGGCAGCTGCCTAGGTCCAACAGGAACAGGAAATGGTGACTGTTGAGATCGTGACGGAGATGTCAGGGCAGAGCGTGAGGTGGTTGGGAGACGCGTTCGCGTCGCGCTGGCGAAAGCCTTACCGAATATGGACTAGCTCCTCTATCATGAGCACCTGGCATGAAAGTCATTCTGTTGCAGACATGAAAAGCCGGAACATTGGACTAATGCAGATGGTGCCTTGTTGTAAAGGAGGAGATGAACGCTGCACAATGCGTTATCTTCCTGTTGAGGTGATGTCGCTGAGAAACCATAGAGTGCTCACAGCGGCTTTGTGTACGTTAGAAGCGCGGCGATCGCAGATGAAATTGCGCACTCTTGCAAAGTCTCGTGTGTACTTTCGCGAACTAGTAGTAATTGTTCACGATGTTTGCAACATTAAAAAGTACTGTACAAAGCTGCATTCCAGTAGTGGTTCATTTTCCCTGCTCACGAAAATCTAGGTACCTGACGTTCCCAAGGTCGCTTCCTGAGTTCAACTCCAACTGTCAGCTATAGCATACCAACACCTCAGACATGAGTGATAAGCATGAAACGCCTGGAATCGGCAAAACCATGAAACACGCGTTGGCATACGAAGAAGCTATCGAAAAAGGACAACGCCTCCTAGCTCTAACAATCGCGGATATCACCGACGGTCCGCCTCAAAGCAAATTCCAAGACATCGATGACCTGGAAGAATGGGGTTGGTGTACTTTCACTCTTGCTAGCCCGAATCCCACCCCTGCCACTAAGCTAGTACGAGCCCTAGGCCCTACCCTCAAGTCTTCTCCTACCACAGCGGGTATCCTTACTAATCACGACGAGACCGTTATGGTCGACGGTAAGATCTATCCAGCCACCATGGCGCATATTCACAGCGTAATAGAACCCGGGGCCGGTATTTTCTTGGCAGAATGCAACACGACGCCGGAAGCAATGCTGAACCCATGTAGGAATCTAGATCCAGCGACGTTGGTAGCCAAACTCCCAGAGCTGCGACATTGGTCCGATGTTGCTTTCTTGCAATGGAAGATTGCATGTACTAACATTAGGTCTCGGTATATGCCAGAACTAAGACTTGTAGTAAGATACCAGGTTCTCAATGCGAACACTCGAGCCATCTCTAGCACTATCCTTGCCTCTCTTCGAAAACAGCGGCAGGAAACAGCTAAGCCAGGAATCTCGTTTGACTCTTGGCTTCCGAGATGGCCAGGTATAGCTTTCCCGAGAGAGTCCGAAGAGGCGAAAGCCTTATGCGGCACACCCAACGGAAGTGGCGTACTGCATTTGCTCGCTCAGCATAAGGCAAAACTGGGCCACAAGACTATTCAGAAGGTATGCCTGTACTATGAAGATGAACATGAGAAGGGGTTGCGAGAAGTTCCGACTCTGATATTCCATGTCAAGGATGTTTGAATAAAGTTAAGTAGCGGGGCCGTAGTGGGGATCGAGTGGGTGGGACTACATTAGGACCTTTGTAAAAGCATCGCCTAGTCCCCTCTCCACAAGCCATTCCTCAATTGCCTTCATGTCACCTCTATTCGCTCTTTGGCCGCGTCGCTCACCGACTGTATCGGTAATTTCAGTCATGTCCGGGAAGACCCGCTTTTCACATTGCTCGCGATGTCGCTCGCTGACTTTCTTGTGATGGGCCGGGATGTCGCCCCAGCTTTCCGTTTTGATGTACTTCATGTAATCATCGATATTTTGTGATCCGCCCTCGACGCACAGAAGACCTGGCTTACCAGCGTAAAGAAAGCCGGTCAATTGGTAAGAAGGAGCAAACTTGATGAAGTCGTCGCGCTTGGAGCGTGTGCTGATCGATGGGAAATAGAACCAAACTCTTACCAGCGGTTCAGCGTCCACAGTAGCAAGATCCGGCCCCAGTTCTGTCGTCTCGGTTTCCACCAGGTATTCAACTGCAGCTTCTCTGATGTACTCAATTTTACTGAGCAGGTCTTCATCTTCCGGGATGTCCGACGTCAACCGCGACGTGGCGGCTTTGTTCATCCATTGCGGTTGCTGCACCCGAACCTTCACCGGCGGTGGGTCTAAAGGCGGCTCACTACCGCCGAACGCGAACGGTACCCCGATATCCAGACGCAATGTCCTTGAACTCGACGACTCTTCGTTGGGCGTAGACACTGGCAGGTCAAGAATGACTGGGATGACAGGCGTATATTTGGCTGCAGATCTAGACCGAGCATCATCGGTATCGCGCAGGATATCCAGTATTCCCTGAGAGTTCTCGTCGAGTGTGATCTCGTCAGGGTACATTGCCAGCAAAAGCTCGACTTGGCCAATTTGAAGCTCTACTAGATCGGCTGGTAAGATCTGCCATTGCTGCATGTCCGTCATCGTTCTACGATAGATGATGATGAAATTTCCGGAGGTCAGAAGGAGTCGGAGGGGGCTGCGAGAAAGAGTGAAGTTTGATGCAGATGTCACAAGCAAGAAAGCGCGCACTAGCGGAAGAGCGAGGTCGGCGTCGATTCTCGGTTACCAGCCACATGGTCAGCCACAAACGCCACCCGCATCCGGATTGTCAAAAGAGAAATCAGCACCAAGCATTGCACGATGATAATTTAATCTAGATTTCATTATCATTGGTAAACATCAAAGCCTGACTACTGTGCAGGTGGAGATGCCTGAGCTTGTTAGCCTTACTTTCGTCTCGTGCTCTTTTCTCTCCACGTACCTGCCACATGTCGATTATTACACTCGACGTTCCGTTTCTTCTGAGGACGCCTACAGCAGCCACATCGTTCAACCACGCAGCAGTTCCGTTTGTATCGGTCTCGAATTGTCCTCGCAACATCGTGGGGGCACCATCCGCAGCGGGTGGGAGTCCTATCGTCTGGACGTATATGAAGGTTCCGTCATCGGTCTGGATATTGTATCGGGCGTCTGGTCGGAAAGCACCCTGCGCGTCGGTAAGGCGCCAGTCTGCGCCGAGATTGAGGACTTTGCCTTCAAAGATGTGAGTGGCATGACGTCATAATGCATAAGAGCACGAGAGGCACGAGCCGTCGAGGAGGTATTCCAGCCGTTTCTCATGTTCTTTGAAACAGGATAACGTATTTAGGCCAATGGGACTACCTAGGTACTCACCAGATATTCTTGGGCCTTTGAAAGTGCCTCCAGTAATAGGAATGACGATGCGTTCCTGCCCAGTCGGAATAGAACCGAGCGAGAATCTTTCTCCTAGGAGCGCTTCCATATGATAAATCAGAGTCATCTGAGGTGGTTCTGGTGTGCTTTGCGCCATTGTGAAAGTAGTAATAGCAGCAAGTGCAGTAATTGGGGTGAGGAGTCGCATGGTGAAAGCAGCGGCAACTTTACTAAAGACTAGTGGGAAACTCTGAATGCAACGACATCATAGTCGCATAGCCAGAATATATAGGTGTACTACAGTGCGATAAAAAGCTTCCATGCCGTCGCCAGGTACCGAGAATGACGTACAGCTTTAGGTTCCGCGTTCCTGCAGCAACCCCGCAATCGGCAATTCCTCGATCTACCCCAAATCAAGATGCCGATTCAATTCCCACAACAACCCATGGGGAAACTTGGTCCCTCGTCGCATCGCATTCACTTGCCACATTATTGACTATTGCTACCGACAGGATATAAGTTGTCGCGAACATGTCATAACACAAGAGCGGTCTGCTGTTCTCTCCTACTAGCCCATGCTCGGGTGTGCCATCCCTCTGCACCTGCCGATCAGCAATGCGATCGATACTTGGCCCGCTACATCACGAAGACACGCCAATACTCGCACGAACGATACAACGAGCACCAAGAAGGTCAACACCATGGCGCAATCGTGCCGCGCCTGACGTCTCCAGCACTGTTGCGCGATCGCAAATTCACCGACAGCCCTGCCCAACCGAGGCGGCTGAACTCCACGGTCTTCGAAAGAATGCGCCGAGTTCCTAGGGCACGCTACCATGCTTCATCTCAATTTCTTCGTAGCTTGAGATGTAGCTTGCCCGCTGGTTAAGTAGCGTAGCTGCGGTGCACCTCGCGAAAGAGGCAAGCACCACATTTGGGGAAAATGTGAATACTTACCTCCTAACCTGCAAGTCTACATTGCCGTGGGATCTCGTTGACTTTACTGCAGCCCAAGGTCTCAGTTTGTACCTTGTATCAGGTGCGAGGCACATTTCCCCTCTACCCATTATACCCGAGCTCCAGGGCACCAAAGTTGACGAGCATCGACATTCAAGCTCGTGGATCATGAGCTTTTATATGACTTTCCGAGCCTTATATGTTCGAAGTAGCACAAGCACAAGCATGCATCAAGATTGCGAAAAGATTGGACAGGCTCGCGCGCGAAAGCCAGAAGGTCTCATGATCACGAACAGGGCCCACCTTCACGACGACTACCACCGAACTGTTATCTTTGTGGAGAATTTTCTTCACGACACGGCCTTCAATCGTGGCTCGAACGTTCAGCCAAGGCATCGTGGCCCACAAGCTGGGCGGTGATCATTGCCCAGGCGTCAATGGGCTCAAATTCCAAACCATGGCGACGTCCCTCAACATCACCCTAGGGTTGCTACGAAGCACAATCTTGTCGCAAGAAAGATGAGTTATCGTGTTCTTCTCTCTGTTATCTGTCTGTGCAAGAAGGTAAGACGTCTCAAGCAAGTGACGCAGCCTATAAATTTTCCCCGGCCGAATTTCCTTCACGATGTGGATATACCGCCGCGCCGGCCCGACCAGACCTCGTAGAATGCTTAGACCATAGCATTCCATATACAGTGGCTAGCGAATGCGACTCCCCTTTTAGAAGCAGCAAAATCAGTTGAGAACGTTCTGTTTGAAGAACAATTCGACTTCTTTGTTGTTCATGAATGACTGGCTGCATCGCTATCTCAGTCTTGCTAGCCAACCCTCACTCGCCAACCAGACGGCATGTGTTAAGCAGACTGGTATTTGTATCTAGGCGTAGCGGTGAGGCTGCAATCGCTAGCCACGGTATTGCTTCGGAGAGTGTATGGCGGATTACTACTTTGCTTCGTTGTGGAGTAGTCCAACTCAGGTGCGATATGAATAGGTATAAAAGCTATTGTTCTGAATCATTCTACGATCGATTCTCCCGTCACCTTACGATACATTCCACAAGCACGTAGCAAAAGCAGCAATGAAGCTCTCTTCTTTCATCACACCTGTTTGCCTCTTAGGCGTAGCAGCATCAGTCGAGATGACTCAGTACTCTACAGGATCTGGCGTCGAGGCCGCCTTTGAGCCCTTCCTCAAAGAGTACGATATCCCATGGTTCTCCCGCAAACGATAAGAACGACCAAAGCACTAACACAAACTTGTAGGCTCTACGCCTCAGCGGAGGATCCTTCCGCTACAAGCACTTTCACCGATTTCTTCACACCCAACGGGCAGCTCATCGTTCTCGAGAACACTGCCACTGGCGCCGAAGAGATCGTCGCGCTGAAGGAGGAGCTTCTCCCCGTAGCTGGCAACAAGCTTTGGAACCATCTTCCTAATGTGACCACCGTTGATTCAGAAACAACCGCGGAGAAGACATACCAGGTGCTTGGTGTTATCGAGACAAGATACGATGGTGGAAACTGCTCTCAGGCCTAGTACGTTCTAAAACCACACTTCCGTGAGCATTGTACTAGTCTGATGGAGTATACTAACGATGCAACTCCCGCAGCTACTCGACCCGCTTTACTGTTACCAAGGACGCCGGCGGATTACCCCAGCTCACACCCCACAGTGGAAGCCTCGTCGCGTACGACGATTTCATCGTGAGCCCATCAAACACGCCGACCGATATAGCTTGTGGGGCTTAGTGCGAGCGCTGGGGGGCACGGCCCATGACTAAGATCTTTTCGCGACTCCGATTTGTACGTAAAAGGCATGGATATATTGCTAGCGAAAGTAGAGCACGTCACGTATTTAGTCTGATGTTACAGAATCACATCAATATTGTCTGCATTCAAGTAATTAAAGCTGCTCTAGCGTCATATTCGACTGAACCGACGGATGCCTGCCCAGCGTGATAATATCGAATGTACGCGTGTCAAGCTCACACTGTCTGAACTTATCACTACATCGCTGTGCATGTAGACGTTTGTAACAAGACAACCCGTCATCACACAGCTGGTATTCCAACTCTCACAATGATTGGTATTCGTAGTAAATATCATTCCATACTTACTGATCTATTCTTTCCCCTCAGTAACCTAGGCACCAAAAGTAAAGGAAGTCTTACAGACCATCCATATCCTCCAGAGAGATGGTCAAGACGTGCGTGCGCGACAAATATGTTGTACTCGAAGAGGCTCCGCAAGGTTTCCGCGGTGGCAAACAGAACGTCGGTGTCTACGTTGTCAAGTATCGCCCTTTGAATGAAACATGCGTCGAAAAGCGCGTGACTGCGTACCAAAACGGTGTCCATTCGATCCCAGCGAGATTCGCACCATGGAACTCTGCCGGAACCATCCAAACATTGTATCAATCATGGACAGCGATACATCAGATCTTGATCACACGTATGGTTCAATTTGGATGCAGCACTGCGAGCTCGGTTCTTTAGATGCGCTAATTATGCGGTACAAAGAACGCAAGATGTATCTTCAAGACGAAGGTTTCCTTTGGAAAGTTTTCTGGGATATCTCACAGGCTCTCTGCTATCTTTGGACGGGTCAGGACTACAAGAAGATACACGATGACGCTATACAGGGCCGGCCAGTAGAGCGCATGCGTGGTTGGAACGCTATCCGTCATCGCGATCTCAAGCCAGCCAACATCTTGATGACATGGTCTAGCCCGCTAGCTGACGACGCGAGTAGTGGATACCCGACTATAGTACTCTGCGACTTTGGCTGCAGTGTCAAGTCTACGGATATTAGTTTGAACAACCAAGCCGCAGAGATACTCGCTTGGGTCGACTTGGCCTTCGAGCCTCCGGAGTCTACCTACAGCGAAAGAGGAGACGTATATTCGCTCGCTCTGATTTTGCTCTGCCTGGCACAGATGCGACAGTGTCCCAATATGGATGTTCTCGATGAAGAGTGTAATCCATTAGGATACTCTATTTACTTCCAGTTGGAACTCGGGTCGCTATTTGGAGAATGCTTGGAGCCAGATCCAAGTGACCGACCGGAACAAGAAATTCTACCCGTGGTGGTTTGGGAGGGCTACCAGTCGTGGCGCTCATACAATGCTGACAGCGGGAAACCACTGCCAAAATGGGCGTTTGAGTAGATTCACGTATGTGATAAAGGCTCTCGGCATTTGGGTTGCTATGTAGGAATGTGAATAGAAGTAAATATGTACAAATTTATGAAGTCAACAATGGCGAATATGGAGTGCTCGACCATGTGGAGTTAATGGCCAGCAAGTTTCGTGATCGGTGGTGTGTTGGGGTAGAAGCTTGCCGGCATCGTAGGTATGGGAATGGGACTGGCTGTACCAAACGCAGTCTGGAGGTTCTCCTTCATAGTAGGTGCAGAGTAACCAGTGGGTGCAGCAGTCTGAGTACTGGTAGTGGCTGGATAAGCGCCCCCACTTCCCTTCTTCAAGCAAAATCCAGTACCGTATCCGTTCTGGCATTGATAGATGTTATTGTTGCCCTTCTCAGTCCACATAGCCAGATCCTCAATGGTAATGTCTGTGCATGGCGCCTTTTCTGCGCAAACGACTTTGACAGGCCCGCGGTTCAAGCCGTATTCGACTGTACCCTTCCAGTTTTTGAATGTCATGTTGCTCAACTGCACACCATTGCCAGCAATAGTGCTCATCGAAGCCCACTTCTGGTTGATGTCTAGAGACCAGGCGTTGCCGTGGCCAATGAAGTTTTCGAAAACAACATCCTCGACGTAGCCGCTGCCACCGTTGGACTTGACCATCATCATCTGGTTAGACTTCCATGTGTAGATGTTCTTGTATACAACGGAAGAGATGGCAGTATCAGCGCCAAGAGAGCCCATGGCGCAGCCGCCGCTCCAGTTGCAGTAGATGTTCTCGATCAGGACATTCTTGGAAGGCGACTTTACGGTGACGCACTCGTCTTTGTTAGTCACCATGATATCGTGTACCCAGCAGTTGGTACAGGTGACATCGACACCGTCGAGACCACCCCAGTCGCCTCCGCGGATCGCCATATTGTAGGCTTCGCCGTTTGAGCAATTGTTGATCACGAAGTGGAACATGGGTGCGTCGACGAGAATTATGTCGTGGATTCCGAAGTTGGTCGATTTCTCAATACGAAGAAGACGCGCGCCATTTCTCTTGCCGTTTTTGTGGTCTTGGTAACCATTGCCTGCAACTGTGATCAGCACTGTAACGGAACATGACCGATGTCGAATAACATCCTTGCATACCTTGAATAGCACCCTTGCCGGTGCTGCTGAACATCTCGAAGTCGTTGGCATTCCTGACGAACAACATATTTCCGGCTTCGGTACCCGTGCGATAGATGATGCCGTCCAGCTGCAACGCCCACGCCTTGCCACCCTCAAAGGTGACCCATGTGTTCAAGGCATAGTCCCCGGAAGGAACAACGACAGTACCACCTGCCTTGCAAGCAGTGAATGCCTTGAGAAGGGCTGGTCCAAGATCTGTGGACTTGTCCGCCTTTGCACCATAGTCCAGCACGTTGCAGGTCTTCTTAGCCGTTTTGGCTGCATGAGTAGTTAAAGGCCCGACCTTGCCCGACAGCTGCGCGAATGCTGGTGCAATAGCAGCCGCCGCAAGGAAAAATTGCGAAAAATGCATCGTGAATGAAAGACCTGCTCAGCAGGAATGAATGACTGGAGTGATAACGAGTGACAACGAAAACAAGACTGGGGAGTGAGAGAATTGAAGCCTAAGAGTAGAGTGGGATATACGTGGATGGCTAGGCTAGACACGAAGGCCATCTGCAAATCCCAGTAGAGATCGAAGCCAATCTCATCTTCCTTGTGGGCCCGTAGAAATGATAGCGCCCCTATGTTGCACCCCGGGAAATCCAACGGCCGCGACGAGAAACACCACGCTGTCGTTATGTTTACTGATCTAGCAGACCGTATAGGCGCCATGGGAGTGTGTTTATCCTCTATGGAAGGCCGATAAATTGTCCGACATTCCCAAATGCATGCTAGAGCGCGCGTCAGCTCATCTATCGCGAACAAGCCTGAAGCAAGCGAGCCGACGACCGTAATGTCGGTAATGCTTGTCATAATGCTTAGTATGAACGCGTTTCGATGTGTGCGCCTCGAACCATGGTGGCGCATGCCTTGAGGCCGCTTTGCCTGATTGATTTGATGGATTACTGTTAGTTGAGTGTTCGTGGAGATGAACAGGTGCGGGACGATGCCGATGTCGTGAGCTAAGAAGGGATTCGTGGAAACATGGTTTCATAACTTATGAAGGAGCAACGTGCGCCGAGGCCATCCGATGAGCTCCTGTCGTAGCATGTTGTTCCGAAAATTTTTATCGCAAGTAACGGAGTGGATGTTGACACTGCTGAGTAGATTTGTCCTTAGAGAATGGGGGTGGCTGGGAACGGAGCTGCCTGGGTCGCTTCAATGGGTGACGCGTTGACATCGGAACGCTCGGAATCGATCGGAACGAGACGAGTCGTATCTCGCCCAACTCACGACGAGTTCATCTATCGTATCTTTGATACATGTACGACGCCGCACAGCACATGCGCGAAAGCTAGACTAGGCGGCCAGATTAAAGCTTTATCATGAGGATGCACAATGAAGCCTTCGTCAAGATCTAGTTACTCCCAACTGTATTCAATACAAAATATCTACTAGTACAAGGCCATGTCGCACGGGGCAATGTGCCGCAAAACATTCAGATAAGAAGCTAATAGAGCAAGTTCGTCCGAATGAACCTAACAAGTATACCTCCTTGACCATTTATATCAACGCCTTGCATACCAAACGCAACATAAATATGAAAATGCCCAGACTCCTCAATGCTCTCCTTTTACCCATCAAAGTCCCCGTAAAGCATTCAATATTCCCTTTTTCAAAAACACCAAACACCTATCTCCTCAATGACCTCAGATCCTCACAAATAACCCATCCAGAGCGGATCACACTGACTCAACTTGGCCGGATGCACCGCAACAGCCACCAAGTCCACTACTGTCTGGTTCGCAGGTAAATTGGCGCCTGTGGGCAGGCTACCAATCGCGCTGGCCCTCTTGACTACCAGATCGCTATTACTCTGCACGCTCTCCCTGAGTACCTCGGGAGTAAGCTGGTTGGCTTTGTGCTGCGAAGTGAACCAGTGGTTCATCTCATCGCGCATAAAGATGCTGAGTTGCATCTCTAGCTCGCCCTCGGGTTCGATCAAACAGCGCGCGACTGTCATGACACTTGGAGCGAAAATACCCTCGAGGTTCAACGGCCCCATGAGAGTTTGTAGGTTGGGTGTGAGGCGGAAAGGTACTGGTTCCGAGTTGTGCAAGATGGGCTTACCAACTGCCATGCTCGGGATCAGTTCGGAACCCCAAATGCGGCCGCTAGAACGGGAGACGCTGATCTTCTGGGGGAAGCGTGTATTCATGTGCATGACATAGGTCATGAACGTGAGTGCAGCGAGTTGGTAGCTGAAGGTACGGCGGAAGAGCCAGAAGTCGGCGAAGGTGGGGAAGGTAGCGCGGAAGTAGTCTTGGATGACCGTCGGGGGCACATATTTCTCTTGCACAGCAGCAAATGTTTCGAGGCGAATGCTGTTGGCGTGATCAAGGTTCTTCTGTTGGGGTTGGGTTAGAGGCTGGCGGCTTGCATGCGCTTTTGATGAACTTACTGGCTGGAGTGCTCGCAGCTTCTCGATGCTGAAGAGCACGGGTTCATCCTTATTGATACCATTCTTCCGGCAGTAATCCTCGTAAATACCTTGCATGTTGATATATGACGGGTCGTCTTGTACCATACGCACACTAGGGGTAATCGGTACCATAAGCGGAAGATGAAACTGCAAATTTCTTCGCCGGCTCTCCTTGCGCTTAGCCAGTATGCCGTTGAAGATGCGGAAGAGTTGTAGGATACGCTCCTCGCGCCTGGAACTTCTAGCAGCCGGGAACTGGATAGCGAAGGGGTGCACGCTTCCATCGTGACCTCGAATCTTGAGACGGCGATGGCAAATACCGACACCGCGCACCAGTTCCACATCTGGCAGGAAGCGTTCAATGCGCACAAAGTCGGAGTTCTTGTCGCGATGTTGCAGGTACTGCCCAGGCACTTCCACATCGTCGAACTTGAGGAAGCGGAACTCACTAAGCTGATGCGTATACTGTTCGAGCGGAACTGTGAGCTTCCTGCGATCGAGCCTTTCCTCGAAGCGATTTCGCCATGTGCGCAGCTTCTGGATGTACTCATACATCGTTGGCTTGTTGGTGACAAAGTCCTTTTCGAATGCCTTGCGAATATGAGGTGGGAGGACCGACTCAGCGAAACGTGTTATGTTTGCTTCAGTTGATTGCGGTAGCTTGATCTCCCTCGCATATAGGTTGGGCTGGCGACCGACATATGACAGACCATCGTTGAGCAGAGCAACGATGAGTCGATACGCATCTTCGTCAGGTGGGCATTTGAAGTTCTTCTGGATCTGATCAAGCATCGTCTCCATGGAGAGGGCGAGGAGAGGGAAAGCCGTTTTGAGGATAGCGCTGATCTCTTCGACATGATCCCACGGCTTCTTCGGCGCTGGGGCTGCGTCGCTAGGAGCTGGTGCACCATCTTGCGTGGCAGTTTCTGTCTTGACAGTGCCGTTGGGCGTGCCGTTTGCAGCAGCCTTGATGTCGGCGCCTGCGGTTGTTGGCCGGCTGCCGGTGCTGGATCCGGGTCTGGTTTCTGGCGACGCCTGCTTCGTTGCAGGCGACCCTTGACCCTGTTGTTGCTTAGCCTTTGCAGCCTTCTCTTTTGCCTCCTTCTGCTCGTGCGTCTTCTTGAGAACTGCCATATCCTCTCGCGTTGTCCGGAGATGACAGTACAATGCCTGAGGATACGTCTTCGCCAATTTGCCGAGAATGGATCTGGCAATCGGCGCTTCTTGTCGAGACAGACTGTTCAACAACTGCGGGATGTAAGTTATCCAATACCATGCCGGTGTATCACCCTTGAACTCTTCAAACTTCTCCGCCAACTTCCTCTCCGGGTTGTCCAAACTGAGCAACCACAACACACGTCCCAACAGTTTTCTTGACTTGGCGTTCTTGAACTGGCTGGCTGCTTCTAGATAGCAGCTGAGTGCTGCCTCAGCCC